TTGTTGTCGAACCCAGAGTAAAGACGGATCCAAAATATAAAAATAAAAATAAAAAAACATAATACATCATGTCTTAGCCCAGATATGATAAACCTATAATAACAATTTCTGTCAGGACAGAACAGAACCAACATAAATGTATTGCAGATATCGTTAAAGTGCAATAATTTTATGTACACATTTTAGAATTAGTCTGATTCAAAGGATAATCAGAAGGCTGAATTCCTGACTGACAGAGGAGGAGCTGGGGATGGAGGAGGGTAATTATCTATTGAGCAATGCGAAAACTGCTGATAATACTGATCGACCTTATATATGAATGCTTAGATAGGTGTTGCATTCCTATAGGTATATGGGGATCAGCTGAGAGTCAGCTGATGCGAGCTTGACTAACGTGACCTGCCAGAACTAACGCTACGCTTGATTTATATTTTAGAAGTGTCGAGACAGATTTCACAGGAAATTTCATTTTATTTGCATGTTATTTGCCCATCTGTGTAACATCATGTTCCTACACAGAGAAAAGTAGCTCAGGCTGTGGGTAGCGTGAAGCTGAAAGCTTGTTGTCATAACAAACAAGAAAAATTTACCAAGGATCATTCAAAATGACAAGTTTTCAAAATAATGTTTGGGAAAAAAGCAACAAAAAAAAGATAAGATGTTCTATATCCACCTGAACGCTGGTGCCTCAAACCACATTCATCCACGCAAAGTTATTCCGTAAGAGGCATGTATATTTCGTTTTTAAATGATATTCAATTGTATAAATCAGGCTTATTTTAATTGCATTGGTCATATTTATTATACATTTAGGTTCAAGATTGATGTCGTCAAGCAAAATAAGATCTGTTCACAGATTTCGATTTCAATTTATTAAAAGAGAGATATTCTTTATAAAAGTTAAGAGTCAACCACGCCTACCTAAAACGCCTCATTCTAACACGCCCCCACATATCTACATCACTATATGGAAATATTAGCATAATGCTGCCCAAATGTGCACGCAAAGAAAGAAGGCGTTGTTTCAGGAACAGCAGCAGTGTTGATGCAGCCATGTCAGGGAGACGGTGTGTGTTTCAGTGCGAAAGCAAAAGCCCTTTATTTGGCCTTCCGGAAGTAGATGCAATTAGGAATCATTGGTTAATATTTATTTACAACAGAACAGCGCAACCCAGATGTTCGAATTTGTGCAACGCATTTTATGGACGACAGTTTTTTGAACCTAGAAGAGTACAAGGCTGGCTGTGCACAAAGGCTATTCAGGGAGAGCAGTGATTATTATTGACTGTCTTGATATTTACTTTGAAAGCTGCAGCTCGTGATTATGGTAAGGGGCGTTACATTTCCGACGTGTGCTTGTGGTGTTCGGGCAATCACAATGCACTGGGTCAGCTGGCCAATCAGAGCAGACTGCGCTTGTCAAAGGAGGGGGCTTTGTTGAAAACGACGCGTTTGAGAGAGGCGGGGCATAGAGGACCTATGTACAGTATTTGAAAAATAATGTGTTTTTTGAACATTAAAGCATGTCAACATATTCTGTTACACCAAATACACAAAATAATGATCTTTAAAATAGCATCATATGACCCCTTTAAAATAACTGATTCAAAATAAAAATGTATTCATAAATCAGTCATCTCCACCATCTTGAGTCATGCTAATATTTTCTAATATTTTCTTTCTCCAATATCAGTTTTCCATCTCTTCACCTGCCTTCCTTTCCATTCCTGACTGCTTATTCTTTCTCTATCATTTTATTTTCCTGCTATCTGTGTTTTTGAACCTGCTGATTTCTCCTGCTAGTCACGCTGTTGTCGTGGACTAAATCAATACAGCTGTGCAGCACGGAGAGAAGGGAAAGAAAGCTTCAAAGCATACTGAAGCTCTGTAAAACACACACAAACCGCTGCATTGACTTATACTGATCTTTCTGCCATCTAAAGGATGCTGCAAGGAAATGCAATAGTCATGACTGCACTAAACAACTCTTTATATTTGCATTTTAAATTTGGAGTATGACTTTTAAGTCATACCTTGCAGAAACGTGTCAGGAATGAGAAGAAATAGGGCGGTTTTGCACTGTCTGCAGCACCTGTAACAGCTGGAACTAAAACATAAAGGCTAAGGGCACAAGAGTGCCAAGATGAAACGCATGTGTATGTCATGGAGATGTTCTGGTGTGTGGGTGTGTTGTAAGTGAATGCGCGTGTCTGTGCTTCGTATCTTGGCAGTATATCATGGCGTGTAACTCCCGCTGAAGGTTTTACTGGGGGGCAGGAGGAAACTGGCCTCTGATACCAGACGCAGGCTTAAGCACAGCATTGGTCTCTTTGCCGGGTCAAAGGCATTAAAACCACGATACGAGGCCTCTGTCTGTCTGTGCCCCTCCGCACACCCCTGTCTGGCTGTGGGTTTTGAGAAAGAGAGAGGGCCCAGAACCTTCAGCACAGGATCTCAAATACGAGCTGGCCTGCCGGTGACCCACAGTCCTATGGGAAATTATATTTAGTTGTAAAAAGAGGGTAGTGAAGAGTGTGGAAAATTGGGTAGAGCGATGGAGGGAAAAAGTCCTGTTTAGGGTTGGGAATCGATAACAGGTTCTTATTTACATTTTTAAATAATGCGGGCAAAACTTTGATGATGTTTTGTTCCGTTAATGATTCTAGAATGTCAGCATCATTCCACCGACATGTCTAGAACGTCATAAAATATGATGCATATTAGACTATAAAACTTTGCTGTTGTCATGTTGGCCTTTATATCTAATTGACTTCATTTAAATTGTATTTTAAAATGTATTTATTCTAATTTCTTAGAATCAGCATACTGTAAAGCTGTTTATTGTGAAAACAATTAAATAGAATTAGTTGAATATGGTTCAAATATGGCTAACTATTTTTTATTTTATTTTTATTTTTTTTACAACTAAATCAGTTTAGGCATGTGCATTTTTTAAGAATTATGTAAAAACATGTTAATTGTTTTAATGGAATTGTTAAGGAGCTGAAATTCAAATTGGAACCAGAATCAATTAATTTAATAATTCCCATCCCATAGTTCTTTTGCTATGTGGAATATGAAGGATCCATTCTGTTATTACAACCAGATATCTGTTTACTCTGATTCGATACATTTTCACACAAACACACAAAAGTGCTGTTTTCTCTTCTATCATTCATTGTTGTCTTTTACCAGGTGAATTGTGGGCTGATATTTTTAAGATTGCACCACACGTGTGAGATTGTGTGTGTGTTGCAGGTGTTTTGGGCAGCTGTGTGGTAGGGAGTTGTTTTGTGCTGTGGGAAAGACAGGAGAAAGAGAGAGGGAGAAGAAAAGCAGGAAGGGAAACTAAAATAAAACAAATGCATCATAGCAGAACTAATGTTTACTTGAGACGTGGGACTGCAGGATATTTCTAAAAACCAGGAAACAGCACGTTTCTTCTTGAATTGCATCTAGCCTGTGACATGCTGTGATTTGACCTTCTGCTGTCATGCCTCCTCATAGATGTCTTCAACTCTCTCTCTCTCTCTCTCACACACACACACACACACACACACACACACACACACACACACATGTGCTGTGATTTGACCTTCTGCTGTCATGCCTCCTCATAGATGTCTTCAACTCTCTCTCTCTCTCTCTCTCACACACACACACACACACACACACACACACACACACACACACACATATTCCTGTTGGGATTAATTGTTGTGGAGATGGATCAATAAAAGGAAATGCTGATCTACCACTCCAGAGTCAGGTCTTGGCCCCCAGCTAATAAAGACAAGGTTAAAATTACCTCAGTATCTGCACTATGAACTTTCCACTACATACATAGCTCCATTACTACTCACTTGAAAGGACTGCTGTTTTCATATGCCGCATAAAATCTGTTTTAGAAAATAGCACAAATACACTCCCTCAGGCAGTTTAAAGGGACAGAGAAATATGAAAGACAGATGTATTTGTATGTGTTTCTAAAGTAAGCAGGGGAAACAGTTAGTATGCATGTCACCCAGGTGCATGACACCAAATCGACAGCAGTGAAGATGAGATGAGATTAAATGTGTAGGTGTGAAACATTGAATAAGAGAGATGAATCCACCAGTGAAGGTCACTTCTTGACGGTACTGCTGTGTTCTGTATCTCTGTTTGTGTTCTCTCAGTTTCTGAGCCTCAGGCCAGTTTCAAGATTACCAACAGAAATGTTCCAGTTCTCTTTTTCTCTGTTACAACATATTGTTTAGTAAGACAAACTTCAGAATTATGCAACATCTATTTTATCTAAGCATTAGGGGGTTGAGAGTTACTGTAAATCAGTTTCTAGAGTGTGTGCAATCAAAAAAGCCTGTGATGCCAAAAGACATTGTTATGAAAGAGTAACTATGGCTGGAATATGCCCAGGCTATACTTTATACATTTATGCTAATTGACGTTTAAAAACACTTCAAAACAAAACACTACTAAGAGTGCTTTCTAAAGTCCATTTTATGGTACAACCATTAATTTTAGTGACTTGGTTTTGTTTATATGGTTCATGCAATTAAAGCCTGTGATGCCAAAAGACATTGTTATGAAAGAGTAACTATGGCTGGAATATGCCCAGGCTATACTTTATACATTTATGCTAATTGACGTTTAAAACACTTCAAAACAAAACACTACTAAGAGTGCTTTCTAAAGTCCATTTTATGGTACAACCATTAATTTTAGTGACTTGGTTTTGTTTATATGGTTCATGCAATTAAACAATTAATTGATCAACTAAAAAAATTCACCAACTAATGTTATTCTTTGCATTTGCCTTCTTTGTGAAATACTTATAAAATATATAAATATAAAATACTTATAAAATATTTAATTTTGTAGTGTAGCTAACTACTTACCAACTGTCATACAAGAGATAGCTAGAAAAATGGGTGAATAATACACACACACACACACACACACACACACACACAAAGTTACCTCTTGAGACAGATGTATGTTGACTATACCTCTTGACGGTGGTCCGCTCCTGGCTTCAGTACGAACCAGCGGATCAAGGCCTGCTGAGATTGTGAAACACACTCAAGAAAAGAGGAGTTACTCTCTACTCCATACAACACCTTTTCCTCGACATTCCACCCTAACACTGCCAAACAGAGAGAGAGAGAGAGAGAGAGAGAGAGAGAGAGTAATCAGCATATCAGAAAGAAAGTAAAGTTGTAGTTTGGGGGGGGGGGGGGGGGGTGTGTTGGCCATTAGGTGAGCCCCACAGGACAATGCAGCATCTTAAAACAAAACAGAGCTTTTAGTGCTTTTATGCTCCATATGCACACATACACCCTCATATGCCTCCTTACCATCCTCTGTGTCCCAACAATGGCTGGATGGGTCTCCATGCTTGATATCTTGTCTTCTGGCCCTCCTGTAAGAACACATGAAAAGCCTTTTTTTGGATTCAGATTCATTTTGATTACATTTTAGACTCCTTGAACAACCAGCACTTTTAAAGAGCTGCCGATCAAATTAAGGCAAATTTATATTTTTATATTGTTCAGCATCCATTCATTTTTCATCCATATTGTGTGTAAAAAGTATTTTTAAAAATCCTTATCGAGTAAATCACGAACAACTGTTATAAATCCAAAATAGCTAGAGCAATTAGAACAATACCCATCAAAACATAACTGGCTAATCTAAAGTTTAATCTTCAGAGCAAGAAAAATATGAATCTTAATGAAGCCACAAAGCGAATTTCAAACAGATTAGAACAGATTTCAAACAGAGCCATCTGACAGCCAAATAATCTCCAAAATAAACTAAAATCCCTCTCTCTGTGTGTCTCCCTATCTCTCGCTCGCTCTCTCTGCAGGACTGACCTGGCCTCCTTGCGTCAGTGGCGGACCGGAGAGCCGGGGAGAGAAAGGGCAAGAAAACTTCTCTGACAGCTCACATACATCATCTCAACAACAAAGCAACTTTAATCAATTTGCCTGTCCAGTCCAGTCCCACTACACCCTATGGCACCGGAAAAATCAAATATTTATCATTTTCTTCTATGTGCTGAACTCCAGGAAACAACTCACCCTGGAGAAGTAGGTCAGAAAGAGGGCACCACAAAGCCCTCTCTCTCTTTTAACTTTCTGCTATCCCAAAAACCTCAGCGCACCAAACTGCACACGGTGCACATCTCAGGGATATCGTAGGACACATGTGGCTTTGCAGTTTTTTGTGTGTGTCGATAAGAAGACCGTTAAACAGAAGTGCTGACTCTATGAATCAATGTCAAGGCTTTGCATCGACTCGTGTTTGGGACAATTACTTTATCGGTTCATGTGTGTGTGTGTGTGTGTGTGTGTGTTACCTCTTGGATGCTGGAATGTATCTGGAGCACTGGGTGCCATCCCAAGCGCAGTAGGGGTCTCTAGCCAGGCAGCATTCTGCACAGCCTTGCCCATAAATATGGCACCTGTGCAGGGACACCTGCACCAACCCGTCGCTTCCTCCAACAAACAGCTGCTGCTGCACACACAAACACAAAGTACTAAACCAGGTGCAATTACAAAAAAAAGTGCTTACTGGAGCAAACTCTTTAACAGAGTTATCAATCAGCATAACTCGTCTTTTTGGTCCAAAACACTCTAAACAGAAGAATGTGTACATGTGACTCAGAGAAATAAGTAAACCATGAACACAACAACAAGCAGAATAAAAGTTACGGTGCTATTGCTTTTCTCTCAGCATGAGTCTGGAAGTCACAGCAGATCTTCCCATATAACACCCTTGTAAAAGCAAATGTTGTTCAGAAACTTATTTGAAACCATTTAGTGATTTCAAGAGGTAGCATTCACCATAGAGAATTAGAGGCAGAAGTAAAATGTTGATGAGATAATGACACAAAGATTCCATCTAACCCCTGTATTATCCATATAATTTCTTATCTGTACTCTTATCCTCTGCTATTAAAAAGAAAAAAGGCCTTAAAAATAAATAATTATGGAAAGAACTGGCCAAGTGGCCCGCTGATGTAACCATAAGGTTCTATCTTTGTGCAGAAGAAAGGAGGATAAAAGCTTTAGGGTGAACTGCAAACCTAACCATGAACTCCAAAAGATAATAATAGATAATTAGACAAATGAGAGTGTAAAGGAAAAATTAAAGGAATGGCCAAGAAACAGAAGAATCAGACTTATCTGTGAGACTCTGATACAACTGTACAATACATATAAAAAAGTATATTATGAGACCAAGGCCTGAGAACATTGCAGTTGCTTAAATATGACAAACAGTCCTGTAGAACCTCTGAAACAAAAACAGCTTGCTGATGAATGTCATTTAAATAATTTATACAATTATTTGTTTTCTTTCTTCATTCCAAGCTAAAGATTTAGTTAACTAGAACCAAGTTTAAACTTCAGTTCTTACCTGCTTTGATGAGACTTCCATGTTGAGAATTGGTGAGGGACTCTGGATAAATAAATGCACCAGTGATGTTATCAGGTGAACTTTTTTGCTTATTATTGTGTTTTCTTTACTAGTGTTTGTTTATTGTATTTATTATTGTGTCGTTTTTTATTCATCCATAAATGTTTCATATTTGAATGTTTGCGACTTTTACCTTGAACACCTGTAGCTCCTCTAAGAGGATCTCCTCTGTGTACCAGTTTTCTTGAGTGATGCTGACAACCTTCAAAACTGATCCCATATCTGCAGACATACACACACAATTATGTCTCTTAAGCTCTACTGCCATCTGCTGGTTGATCAAAATGAAAGCTAATTAAATAGCTTATGTACTCTGCAAATATACAGTAAAAATGTTTTTTTTTTTTTTTTTTTTTTTTTACAGTATAAATAAATAAAAGGCTATTGGATTATGTTTTAATAGAAAATACTATTTATATTTTTATACCTCAAAATTTCACATTTAATTCAATGCGTTACTTGCAGATTGTTTGTAATTATTTGTGAAATTTAATAGCAATTTCTGTTTTTTTTTTCAGTGTACAGGGCTTAAAGTGAATCCAACCTTTACTGCATTTCTGGACATTATAGGTATGAAGAACAAGTGTATGTTGGGCAAAATTATGTTTTTTAGGCAGTTCACTAGGTCATTATAGCTTTTCAAAATACCAAAATAAAAATGCATCACATTTTCTTAATTTTCTTCAACATCATATCTAGTTGTTACAAATCATTAGTAACATTTGTGTTGTTTTTCTTACCTGTGCCCAAGAACATAACAGCATACTGTCCATCTTCAGCTGCCACGCTGTCCACTACAATCTGAGTGAGCCGGTACTCCGTATTGATACGAGTGAAAATTGGTCGGCCCGTCATTGGGTGCACAAAGTGGTACATTAGCGGGTGCAGCCGTATAAAACTGATGACTTCATCTGGAAAGTCTTTAGTCGTTTTTATATGAGGATCATATGTCCGACTGGGGCACTATGAAAGAAAACATATATACATATATACTGTATATATATATTTTTTTACATTTTTTGTTTTATTTTTGCATTGAAATGTAGAGAATGCACATTCATAAATTTTTTTTTAATGATTTGTGGCCTTCATAGTGAAAAGTTTTGGCACCTCTGGTGTAAACAGCATTTTGAGGTATGTAAAGTATTAGGTATTCAGTATATAGTGTTATGTCTCCCTCTAGTGGTAATGTAAAAAACTCCTAAAAGTCACAGTGACTGAAAGAGAGACAAAAAAAAAAAATCACTGAAACAGTGTTACTAACAGTGCCTGGTCGTGGGTAGGGGATTCTGCCTTCAAATTCCACCCAGCGATGGTCCGGACCCTCTTTATGAGCATATGGTCCATTAAACACCGCACGGATGTCTTCCATGGTATAGACACATACGGCTGATCCTTTAAAGATAGAACTGTGCCCAAAAATACAAATTAAAAAAACGAAACAACCTGAATGCCACAGTAAAAGAAAGGTCATTACAAATGGGCAACTTTATACAAATTACAATGTTTTCAATTGCTATATTAATCTATAAAATATATTTAAACTCGTTTCATATCACATCAACAATTACACATTTCAGAATGGATTTCAAGCCACAGTGCCCAGACCAAAAGCAATGAAATATTGATATGCACGCTTGTAGGAGCTGTGTCTCACCTGGTGGTGGTGAACACTCCGTACACCATTGGATTTCTTTCATCTCTTCTAGAGAGGAGAAAGATGTCCTCTGTAACACACACACACACAATAAAAAAGTGCACAATTAAAAAATGTTTTATGCCAAAAAGTATGATAAAACTGAAATATGTTTGTGAGAGGGAGCAGGGACAGAAAACACATCACTTACGTAGCTCATCAAAGTGTGTGTCCACTCCATCTGGTCCAGGAATGGAGCACACAAATCTTGCTTTGAGGAATGTTGTCCACTTGTTGGTAAGACTTCTCAAACCTCCAACATCATTCTGCATGCAAACACAAGGGCATAAAGTCTCTTAATTCTGTCGTGCTGAAAGCACATTTATCATTTAAATCCTAAATTGTATAGACTTTATAATAAAAATGAAAAAAAAACAGCATTTGGTTCTGATTATAGCGGCTTATCTAATTAAGCATGAGACTGCAGAAAACCACAAACCCCTCAGTTACACACAAACTTAAGAGGTACACAAACACGCACACAAGAGAGACAAAGAAAGAGAGTTCAAGAAATCGAGAAGAGCGAGTGAGGTAGTTTATAATGGGAAAATAATGACCTTCTCTGTGAATTCACAAAGAGCAGGTTTCTGTCTTTAGATGCACAATAGAGCACTGAGAGGTCTTAGAATGAGAAGACATGCTGAGAACACTTAAATGAATCTCCTCATTATAACCAGAAGTGTTTAATCAAAGGACTCCGATGATTTCACCTACACCCACTTAAAGCAGCAAACATATTCCTGCTCTGCCATTATCCCTGTTGAATAACACACACACTTGAGAATAAGGGGGAGAATGAGAATTGGAGTGGCGTTTTCCAAATTCTTTAATCTTCAAAGATGCCCTCTCTAGTGTTAGGCCAGTTATCCAGTGAGGAATCTGGCCTCAGATAGCTTTACAGCTCACTCCTAAAGCTATAAAAACCTGCCCGCTTCAGTCTAAGAATTTTGCAAAAGAGCTAGGAATTGTTATAGCACACAGCCCTGGAGGATGAGTCTACAGCCTTTTTATGATTGCAGGCTGACAGGTGACTTGCATGGACAATTACCTAAAATTACTACAGAGCTCTCTACAATATTTAATTCTGATTGGTCAACTGCAGCATTCTGCATTAAAATACTGTTGCATAACAACAACCGTTTACAACATACAGTATTAACTACCGTTCATAGTTTGGGGTAGGTGAGATTATTAAATCGTTTCTGAAAGAACTCTCCTACAGTATATTCACCAAAGTTGCATTTATTTGATAGACAATACAGTAAAAACAGTAATATTGTGAAATTTAAATATATTTATTTTAAAATGTAATGTGATACAAAGCTGAATTTTCAGCGGCCATTACTCTAGTCTTCAGTGTAAAATAAAATAAAATAAAATAAATATATACATACATATACATTTTACTAACCCCAAACGTTTGAAAGGTACTGTACCTGTATCAGTGCTGGTTTTATGTCTCTTGTACTCATGGTCACTCTTGGTTGTATCACTATGTTTTCTCTTTATTCTCACATAATACAATAATTTTAACTCAAACCAATATTTAATAAGCAGTATAATGTACAGTCAGACTATACATTATTTTCTTCAGAAATTAAAAAACAGAATAAGAAAATCTATAGCTGTCTTTCCTACTGTTTTTGTTTAAAACACATGGCATTTGTTTATTGCATTGATTATCCATGTGAACACAAGAGCAATGGAGGGTTTTAAAAGTTCAAAACAAGATTAAATGTAGCTAAAAATATTAAATGTAAAGGTTTTTGGTGAGTAATCGCCACCCAGGATCACAAATGGCAAAATTACTTCCATCATCTGTGTGCTTTGATGACAGCCTTGTGGAAGAGACCTTTGTGAAGGGAATCAATAACTCACTTTCTTTAGGGAACGACCTTGGAAATAGAGTTAATTTCCCACAGTGCCCTTCATGGATATAAAAATTATGCATTTGTGGTCAGTGTGATGTTTGATCTGTTGTTCCCGATCTTGACTTCAGACTTTTTTATGGATGGTTTTGTGTAATATCCCTAGCCTTCATAGTGAACTCTTGTTAGGGGATGGGCAGAACACAATGTGTTAACACAATGGAGTCACTTAGCACACTTATTTCCCTACGCAAGGGACTTCCACTGTCATCATGAACAACGACTTGGGCAGCAATTACATGGCCAGACCTCTGCTATGATTTACCCCGCCTGACAACAGTGGTTTGGTCCGCTTTCAGCATATCACATTAAGGGGAACGTACCAGGAAGCCTCCCCTCCCAGGGGAAGCACATTTAATCTTATGTGCTAAGGAAGGATAAGATAGATGAGGTGAGTTCCTCTCTGATCAGGAAGCGTGAGGACAGGTCTTACCCGGCAGATCCGGGCGACACGAGACAGTACAGTCTTGTCTGTAGTGCTCCCATCACGGGACGCCTCGCGGAAAAAGAAGTAAATCTTGTCATCGTCAGGGTTGTAGGTGTCCGCGATGGGATGGGCGGAAATAAATTTGCCCTCTGTGGGGACAAAAGAGAGAAAAGCTGGTCAGTTTTAATTGATTTCTGTGATGCTAATCCACCAATCACTTTATAAGACTTACAAGAAAGTACAGAGGCCTATAAAAAGAGCTAAGACCCACTGTTTGTGTGTGTGACAGAGTATAAAGACAAAACTGTTTCCTACTGTTTAGTGTAAATGCTAGGCATTTCCTTTTAGACTCACAGCAGACCGTTAAATGGGTGTTTAGGGTTGGAAAATAGACTGTGTGGGTTTAAAGAGCTCTAACATTCAGAGGGAAACCAAAGGTGGAAGAAAGACAGTCATTAACTCAATGACTAGACAAATACTATATTATATTGGACTCTCTGCAAATGACTAAGACCCAGATAGAGGGGAGAGAAGAGGAGAAAAAAGAAGATGAAAGTGCCAGCAGTTGGTAACTCAGAAGATGTGTATAAAGGATTGGAGTGTTACTCTCAGAGTCCAAGCAGAAGATATACTGTATCAAATTTAGTTTTTTATATAGATATTTAAGAGATGCAAGTCCAAAGATAATATTTATGAGCTATTTGACACTTTTATGGGCATATCAAAAGGCTTGAGTTGAGCTAATAACAGCAAATGCAATTTTGAACACACTGGCAACTCACACAGACCTGACCATCAGTTTAATTTTTCTGTGCTGGGTGATTTGACTCATCGTTTCTTATGATTTAAGGATCTTTTCTCCTAATTATGTGAGTTATATATCATAGACACACAGGCAACACGCCTCAAATGTGGCACCTTTTTATGCCGTGATAACTTATCCACAAACTGTGAGAATAAATCAGTTTGTGGTATCAGTATATGTGCCTTTCTATTTTCTGTGGTTTTGGTTTTTCTCAATCTGTCACTTATGCTTTATATGTGTGTTAGCATGAGTGTGGGCTTGTGTGTGGCCAAAAAGCTGTTTTTACATGCACTACCATTCAAAAGTTTAGGGTAAGTATTTAAAAAAATAATAATTTTAAGAAATAATTTTTTTTTCAGAATGGATGCATTAAAATGATCAAAAGCGACTGTAAATAAATTTATAATATTACAAAATATTTATATTTCAAATAAATGCTCATCTTTTGAACTTTTTATTCAAACAATCCTTATAAAGATATACTATATTACAGTTTCCACAAAAATATTAAGCAGCACAACTGTTTTCAACACTGCTAATAACAATAAATGTTTCTTGAGCACCAAATCAGCATATTAAAATTATTTCTGATGGATTATCTGACAATGAAGACTGGAGTAATGGCTGGTAAAAATTCAGCTTTTCCATCAAAGGAATAAAATACATTTAAAAAAACAAACATTTAAATAGAAAACAGTTATTTTAAATTGTATTGTATTATTGTATTATTATATAACATTACGCAGCCTAGGTGAGCATAAGTGATTTCTTAAATAAAAAAAAATAAAAAAACTTACCGACCCCAAATGTCTATATATAATAGTCACAATAGGAAACTACATTCAGGCTGCCCATTAATACAGTACCTATGGCTAAAATGCAACAAGTAAACCCTCACTGCAAAATTCCTTCATTAAACATTAGCATAAGACTGCCCACATTAACAGATCAACGGTTATTCAGTATTCATTAAACAAAAAAATAAACCTAAAAACTCTGTAAGCTGTGCCTATAAGGCTGTATGTCATTCACTGAGTGCTGGTATGAGTGTATTGAACCGGACTGGTGGGTAGCACTGACCGTTGATCCAGTAGTCCTCGGAGATGTCTGTGCGAATGTACTGCTGATCTGGGGGCGGGCCAAGAGAGCGGCTAAACGTGCTGTCCTTGCCCAGGAAATCAGACGTTGTGCCAGCATAGAGATACTGATCTGAAAACATAGAAAATCTCAGCGTAAACACTGAGCTGTGGTCAGTCAGGCTGCAGGCAAATCAGCATTCTCTTGTTCTCTTTTCCTCACACGTGATATACAAGCCCAACTGAGATATTACAGTATGCTCCATAAATAAATTACCGTCTCCATAACATCCATGACAGCTAAAATGGGTTTATGGATTATGTTTTTAGAATCGCTTAGCGATTTCTATCTGAGTTATCATTTTGGTGTTTGGGCCTCCACCCTACCTCACCCATCTCTCAGTATATGTGGTTTGGAGCAAATCTCGATGACATCAAGGAGAACGTGCTCTGTGTTCTCCCAGAGTTGTTCCCTGTTGCTTATGCCTGTCCGTGTAAATAAACAAACACACTCAACCACACTGTTGAAGGAGGAGTTCAACCAAAAGTAAAAAATATAATTTGCAATACTTACTTTAGATTTTAACTTAAACTTTGGACTTAAATTATAGTCCTTTTTGCACACAAGGCTGGATGATTTTATTATGAGTTTTGGGCTTTTTTGGAGCTTGTCACAAAATGTTTTCATTGCATTACATTTTTTTAAAACTCCTTTTGTGTTTCATGCAAGTCAATCTTGGAATGACATGAGGATGAGTAAATGATGACATAATTTTCACTTTTGAGTAAACTATTTATTTTTTAATGTTCCTAATTCAGGTCTTTTTATGAAGATTACATTTTAGCAATCCAATTTCTGGTAAGAATGAAGGATCTGTGATGACTAATGGCTGTAATTAATCAAACTTTGTTCAGCTGTAAAAATTCAGGCTTCAATACAACCTACACAAATGGAACACAAGAAAAGAAAAAGGAAACTTTGGAAAGTTTACAGCTGGTATTCTTGACAGGGTGTGACATTTCTCTGCAGCCCCAACATAAAGGTCAGTTTAACTTGAAGCCAAAAACAAATGTATGACAGACAGTACAGAGGAACCAGATTTTTCTTGGGTGAAAGCCTATCACGTGCAAAGAGTAAAATGCTCTTTACATCAGGTTTGTGTCTTTTAGATTCAGACTCACCTGTGAGTACTGAAGCAAAAGGCTGGTGTGGATCAAAAGGACATTTCATTCGGCCGGATTCCACAGTGTTGCTGTGAATGTGCAACCAGCTGTCCTGCAATCATTACACAAAACAATCACCATCAATATTTACCATACAGGAGAAATTACTTAAGAATGCTTTAAAACTCTTTCAAGAATACGTCAATAAAACCGAAAACCTTGACAAAATCAATATACTCAATATGTGTGGAAACAGTCAATAATTTAATTCCTTGCCTCTTTGTGACCTTTGACCTCTAAGAAAGCACAGGTGGGGTGGAACGCTCCAGTGCCACAGGCGTAGACATGTGTCCGGTTATAGCTGTGCAAAACTCGTATGAAATTAGCACATTCGGTCTGAGGTAGAGAGAGAAAGAGAGAGAATGTGAGCATGTGAAGTGGTCTTAAAAGCTATTTGGATATTTATAACACATTTAGTGTATCGATGTCATTGCATTAGATAGCAAAATATCTAACAAAGTGGTCTTTATCATGAAATATATCATCAGCATACTTCTTAAGTGTTTCACAAAAAGAAGTTTGCAAGATTTCAGATGACAAAATAATCAATATTCTGTTTAAAAATACCTTGGTTGAGGGGACTGACTTAATACATTCACTAAAAATCACTTTGGGATGAAGTGATATAACATACACTATTGTTTAAAGGTTGGTAAGAAAACATTTCTTATTATCAATGTTGAAAACAGTTGTGCAGCTTTATTTTTGTGGAAATCATGATATATGCAATGAAATACAGTGAAGGTCTGAAGCAAATAGTTTACAGTTATCTTTTACAAGACAGGTTAGAGTTAGAGAGGACAGGCTGTGTATTGAAAGGTTCATTCAACAGACATATATCCTGACTGGTACTTACAAGAGGGTTTTTGCCAGCCAGTATACACATATCCACCCTGTCTCTTGGAGCTGGCCAGCTCAGCTGGAAGTGAGAAACATACACACAAAAAGCAAGTCAATTCAGGTAAAAATACAAGCAACACTTACCTTGTAATTTATACAGTAAGCATAAGTGTTTACAATTGTCTCAGAAAGGTGAGATTAAGCTGGGACTCAAAGTAGGATTTTAAACAGAGTTTAATCCATTGTGTATTTAACAGATGAAAAGCTGTACACAAATAATACTGTACAAACATGAGTTCTGGGTTAAGCTCACAAGAGGGAGGATGACGAACAGATAAAAGAGTGATGAAGGGGCTGCTGGCCCTGTCTCTGCATACATGTTATAAAAAGCTCAAGCGCTTAGCACACACATGCCTGACCTTTGACCTTGACCTACCAGAGCCATCTCTACATGTAATAAGCAATCCATGATTACACATGCTCGTGAGACGACTTTACATGATGGTGCTTTGAAGATTGGCGTGCCTACCGCAAACTGAAAATGGGCTCAATACACATACTCCACTATACAAATGAGAACAAGTGCATGAACAGACAAACACATTACATAAACACACACACACACTCGCATGCAAAGGCCAGCACATGCCTCCACCTCGGCATACTTTTAAGATAATAAAATATTATTCAATTATATGTATTACCCAAAACATATACTTCAATTATATACTTAATAAATGATATATACATGACACAATGCACTTTAAGGGTCCAAAAAAAAAAAAAAAACATTTTGGGTAATGAAAAATTTATTTTATAAAATATATGTTGGATAATTTAAATATTTATATTTAAAATATATAATAAAAATATCCAAAAAATATCTGAGAAAAAGTACCTAAAACTTATGAAAAATGTATTTGTGCAAATATATTTCAAAATCTACATTAGAATTACATTTTAAGCCATTTTTGGTATATTTTGAAATGCATCTAAAACTATATATTTTTGCCATGGGTGCCTACTTATGTGAAAAAGACAAAAAAATGTTTTGGTAAGGTCCGCTCAGGAGCTCTGTGCGGTGATGCTGTGGGAATATCTAGATGTGACAGTGAAATAACTATGAGAACATTTCAAAGTGAAAGTACAAATTGAACTAAAGGATCTTCTGAGGCAGAGACACACAGAGACACATAAACACACTACTACCATGAATGTATTCATAAGCTAAACATATCCAGAGACTCTCACACCATGCTATCAGGCATTTTTGTGAGATTAGAAAGGTATAAACAGTTTTGATTTGTACTTAGTTTAAACCAGATTATGTTGTCCAAGTACAGTCGACAGTTCTATAACAAAGTCAACAGTTTTATAACAAAAAAAAGGAGAAATTATTTTGTTCTCATAATAAAACATACACCTGTTTGACAAAAGACAGACAAATACATAAAAACATAAAATTTATCAAATTAATCTGACTTGGGGATAGGCTCTTGGACCAGAAAAGCGACCACCTACGAACAAAACTCTGGCAATAAATAGCACTGCACTGCACTGATCATAGCGGCAACGTTTGCATTCATTTTTAGGATCTAGTTTACACACAATGTTTCTCTCAAAACTTGCATTTGATATAGTTCTATTGACTAAATGAGAAAAGAGGGTTTAATAGAATTACAAGAACAAGAAGAGAAACCTAATTTACTTCATGGATATAAAAATTATGCATTTGTGGTCAGTGTGATGTTTGATCTGTTGTTCCCGATCTTGACTTCAGACTTTTTTATGGATGGTTTTGTGTAATATCCCTAGCCTTCATAGTGAACTCTTGTTAGGGGATGGGCAGAACACAATGTGTTAACACAATGGAGTCACTTAGCACACTTATTTCCCTACGCAAGGGACTTCCACTGTCATCATGAACAACGACTTGGGCAGCAATTACATGGCCAGACCTCTGCTATGATTTACCCCGCCTGACAACAGTGGTTTGGTCCGCTTTCAGCATATCACATTAAGGGGAACGTACCAGGAAGCCTCCCCTCCCAGGGGAAGCACATTTAATCTTATGTGCTAAGGAAGGATAAGATAGATGAGGTGAGTTCCTCTCTGATCAGGAAGCGTGAGGACAGGTCTTACCCGGCAGATCCGGGCGACACGAGACAGTACAGTCTTGTCTGTAGTGCTCCCATCACGGGACGCCTCGCGGAAAAAGAAGTAAATCTTGTCATCGTCAGGGTTGTAGGTGTCCGCGATGGGATGGGCGGAAATAAATTTGCCCTCTGTGGGGACAAAAGAGAGAAAAGCTGGTCAGTTTTAATTGATTTCTGTGATGCTAATCCACCAATCACTTTATAAGACTTACAAGAAAGTACAGAGGCCTATAAAAAGAGCTAAGACCCACTGTTTGTGTGTGTGACAGAGTATAAAGACAAAACTGTTTCCTACTGTTTAGTGTAAATGCTAGGCATTTCCTTTTAGACTCACAGCAGACCGTTAAATGGGTGTTTAGGGTTGGAAAATAGACTGTGTGGGTTTAAAGAGCTCTAACATTCAGAGGGAAACCAAAGGTGGAAGAAAGACAGTCATTAACTCAATGACTAGACAAATACTATATTATATTGGACTCTCTGCAAATGACTAAGACCCAGATAGAGGGGAGAGAAGAGGAGAAAAAAGAAGATGAAAGTGCCAGCAGTTGGTAACTCAGAAGATGTGTATAAAGGATTGGAGTGTTACTCTCAGAGTCCAAGCAGAAGATATACTGTATCAAATTTAGTTTTTTATATAGATATTTAAGAGATGCAAGTCCAAAGATAATATTTATGAGCTATTTGACACTTTTATGGGCATATCAAAAGGCTTGAGTTGAGCTAATAACAGCAAATGCAATTTTGAACACACTGGCAACTCACACAGACCTGACCATCAGTTTAATTTTTCTGTGCTGGGTGATTTGACTCATCGTTTCTTATGATTTAAGGATCTTTTCTCCTAATTATGTGAGTTATATATCATAGACACACAGGCAACACGCCTCAAATGTGGCACCTTTTTATGCCGTGATAACTTATCCACAAACTGTGAGAATAAATCAGTTTGTGGTATCAGTATATGTGCCTTTCTATTTTCTGTGGTTTTGGTTTTTCTCAATCTGTCACTTATGCTTTATATGTGTGTTAGCATGAGTGTGGGCTTGTGTGTGGCCAAAAAGCTGTTTTTACATGCACTACCATTCAAAAGTTTAGGGTAAGTATTTAAAAAAATAATAATTTTAAGAAATAATTTTTTTTTCAGAATGGATGCATTAAAATGATCAAAAGCGACTGTAAATAAATTTATAATATTACAAAATATTTATATTTCAAATAAATGCTCATCTTTTGAACTTTTTATTCAAACAATCCTTATAAAGATATACTATATTACAGTTTCCACAAAAATATTAAGCAGCACAACTGTTTTCAACACTGCTAATAACAATAAATGTTTCTTGAGCACCAAATCAGCATATTAAAATTATTTCTGATGGATTATCTGACAATGAAGACTGGAGTAATGGCTGGTAAAAATTCAGCTTTTCCATCAAAGGAATAAAATACATTTAAAAAAACAAACATTTAAATAGAAAACAGTTATTTTAAATTGTATTGTATTATTGTATTATTATATAACATTACGCAGCCTAGGTGAGCATAAGTGATTTCTTAAATAAAAAAAAATAAAAAAACTTACCGACCCCAAATGTCTATATATAATAGTCACAATAGGAAACTACATTCAGGCTGCCCATTAATACAGTACCTATGGCTAAAATGCAACAAGTAAACCCTCACTGCAAAATTCCTTCATTAAACATTAGCATAAGACTGCCCACATTAACAGATCAACGGTTATTCAGTATTCATTAAACAAAAAAATAAACCTAAAAACTCTGTAAGCTGTGCCTATAAGGCTGTATGTCATTCACTGAGTGCTGGTATGAGTGTATTGAACCGGACTGGTGGGTAGCACTGACCGTTGATCCAGTAGTCCTCGGAGATGTCTGTGCGAATGTACTGCTGATCTGGGGGCGGGCCAAGAGAGCGGCTAAACGTGCTGTCCTTGCCCAGGAAATCAGACGTTGTGCCAGCATAGAGATACTGATCTGAAAACATAGAAAATCTCAGCGTAAACACTGAGCTGTGGTCAGTCAGGCTGCAGGCAAATCAGCATTCTCTTGTTCTCTTTTCCTCACACGTGATATACAAGCCCAACTGAGATATTACAGTATGCTCCATAAATAAATTACCGTCTCCATAACATCCATGACAGCTAAAATGGGTTTATGGATTATGTTTTTAGAATCGCTTAGCGATTTCTATCTGAGTTATCATTTTGGTGTTTGGGCCTCCACCCTACCTCACCCATCTCTCAGTATATGTGGTTTGGAGCAAATCTCGATGACATCAAGGAGAACGTGCTCTGTGTTCTCCCAGAGTTGTTCCCTGTTGCTTATGCCTGTCCGTGTAAATAAACAAACACACTCAACCACACTGTTGAAGGAGGAGTTCAACCAAAAGTAAAAAATATAATTTGCAATACTTACTTTAGATTTTAACTTAAACTTTGGACTTAAATTATAGTCCTTTTTGCACACAAGGCTGGATGATTTTATTATGAGTTTTGGGCTTTTTTGGAGCTTGTCACAAAATGTTTTCATTGCATTACATTTTTTTAAAACTCCTTTTGTGTTTCATGCAAGTCAATCTTGGAATGACATGAGGATGAGTAAATGATGACATAATTTTCACTTTTGAGTAAACTATTTATTTTTTAATGTTCCTAATTCAGGTCTTTTTATGAAGATTACATTTTAGCAATCCAATTTCTGGTAAGAATGAAGGATCTGTGATGACTAATGGCTGTAATTAATCAAACTTTGTTCAGCTGTAAAAATTCAGGCTTCAATACAACCTACACAAATGGAACACAAGAAAAGAAAAAGGAAACTTTGGAAAGTTTACAGCTGGTATTCTTGACAGGGTGTGACATTTCTCTGCAGCCCCAACATAAAGGTCAGTTTAACTTGAAGCCAAAAACAAATGTATGACAGACAGTACAGAGGAACCAGATTTTTCTTGGGTGAAAGCCTATCACGTGCAAAGAGTAAAATGCTCTTTACATCAGGTTTGTGTCTTTTAGATTCAGACTCACCTGTGAGTACTGAAGCAAAAGGCTGGTGTGGATCAAAAGGACATTTCATTCGGCCGGATTCCACAGTGTTGCTGTGAATGTGCAACCAGCTGTCCTGCAATCATTACACAAAACAATCACCATCAATATTTACCATACAGGAGAAATTACTTAAGAATGCTTTAAAACTCTTTCAAGAATACGTCAATAAAACCGAAAACCTTGACAAAATCAATATACTCAATATGTGTGGAAACAGTCAATAATTTAATTCCTTGCCTCTTTGTGACCTTTGACCTCTAAGAAAGCACAGGTGGGGTGGAACGCTCCAGTGCCACAGGCGTAGACATGTGTCCGGTTATAGCTGTGCAAAACTCGTATGAAATTAGCACATTCGGTCTGAGGTAGAAAGAGAAAGAGAGAGCATGTGAGCATGTGCAGTGGCTTCAAAAACTGTTTGGACATTTATAACACATTTAATGTATCGATGTCATTGCATTAAATAGCCAAATATCTAACAAATTAGTCTTTATCAAGAAAGATATCATAAGCATACTTTTTAAGTGTTTCACAAAAAAAAGTTTGTAAGATTTCAGATGAAAAAAATCAATATTCTGTTAAAAAGTACCCTGGTTGTTGGAGGGAACTGACTTCATACATTCACTAAAAATCACCTTGGGATGAGAGTGATGTAATATACACTACTGTTTAAAGGTTGGTAAGAAAACATTTCTTATTATCAATGTTGAAAACAGTTGAGCAGCTTTATGTTTTGTGGAAAGTGTGATACATGCAGTGAAGTCTGCAATCTTTTAAAAGACGGGTTTGAGTTAGAGAGGCCAGGCTGTGCATTGAAATGTTCATTCAACAGACATATATGCTGACTGATACTTACAAGAGGGTTTTTGCCAGCCAGTATACACATATCCACCCTGTCTCTTGGAGCTGGCCAGCTCAGCTGCAAGTGAGAAACACACACACACACACACACACACACATAAAGCAAGTAAATTCAAGTAAAATATGAGCAACAAATACCTTCTAATTTAAATAGTCAGCCTAAGTGTTTACAATTGTCTCTCAGGGAATTGTTTCAGGGAGGTAATTCAACTATGAAGTGTAAACCATACAAAAACTTTGATTTAGACTGAGATCAAGCCGAGACTCAAAGTAGAATTTTAAACAAAGTTTAATCCATTGTATATTTAAGAGATGAAAAGCTGTACACATGAAATACTGCACAAACATGAGTTTTGGGTTAAGCACACAAGAGGGAGGATGACATACAGATAAAGAGTAATGAAGGGGCTGCTGGCCGTCTCTGCACACATGTTATAAAAAAGCTTAAGCGCTTAGCACACACAGGCCTGACCTTTGACCTTGACCTACCAGAGCCGTCTCTACATGTAATAGGCAATCCATAATTACACGTGCTCGAGAGACGACTTTACATGATGATGCTTTGAAGATTGTCATGCCTACTGCAAAGCGGCTCAATCTGCACCCTCCACCATGAAAAAGAGTGCATGAACACATTACATAAATGCGCACACACTCGCATACAAAGGTCAACACAACAGGAAGACCAAAATATTTTGCAGATGGAGCTCTGCCTCCACCTCTGCATACTGTTAATGGTATAAAATATTATTCAAGTATATGTATTGCCCAAAACATATACTTCAAATATATACTAAATATATGATATACAAAGTACGAGTTAGGGAAATATTTTCAAAAGCTAAAATACACGACACAATGAACTTTAAAGGTCAAAAATACACCAACATTCTTAAAGGGGTGGTTCATTGCGATTTCACTTTTTTAACATTAGTTAGTGTGTAATGTTGCTGTTTGAGCATAAAAAATATCTGCAAAGTTACGAAGCTGAAAGTTCAATGCAAACGGAGGTATGGTCTTTTAAAATTCTGGCAGTTTAATGCCTACCAAAACAGCTGGTAGGGACTACAACGAGTTACTTCCCAGGTCCGTGACGTAACAAACCCAGATAAACCCCCGCCCCCGGGAAAAGGCAGCAAAGGGGGCGAGGCCTGCGCTGCTTTAGAGAAGAGGAAGCGAAAACTAGAGGTGCATGTAAAAACCTATTCATATATGAATCGCGATTCTGTCTTCTAACGATTCCAATGGATTCACAGGTTTCAAAATCAATGTTCAAAAGCAGCAGTTCTCAATACTGCTCCCCGCGTTGCCCCTGCTCTGCACACGCTTTCTCTCTCTCTCTCTCATTGAACTGTTCCAATTATACACTTATTTTCACATAGCTATGAGAAGCATTAAACATGGACGCGCATGCGGTTGCTGTACTGTATTAAAGCTATAATCAGGATAAAACCGTATATTAAAAGCTAACATAAGCAGTAGCATTTACAACAGCATCTAAAAGTATGAGACAACAGCAAACAAAAAACATGGGCCTACCATTAAAAGCCGTGCTTGCACAGGTTCTGCGTGATCCTCTTCAATAATATCCTCTGCTTCTCAATCAGGCTCAAACTGATAAGCGATATTAACGATGCCGTTGTCTACAATACAACCCGGAGCACATGCCGCTGAGGACAGGGGCGGGACGTTTAGACGCGCACTAGATGCGGTTTAGCCAATCACAACACACTGGGCTAGCTAACCAATCAGAGCCCATCGCCTATTTCTGAGGGAGGGGCTTCATAAAAACAGGAAAAGATCAGTCCATTTCTCAAAGAAGGGACAGAGCGGTGTGGAATAAAGGTAAATTATGTGAAAAATAATGCGTGTATTTGATAAAATAATACACATTGGATCATTTAAAAATTTAGATTAAAAAAATATAATAAAAAAATCTACAAATATATGAAAAAAGGAACTAAAACCTATGAAAAAATATATGTATGCAAATATATTTCAAAATCTATATTAGAATTACATTTTAAGCCATTTTTGGTATATTTTGAAATGCATCTGAAAATATATATTTTTTGCCATATGGGTGTCTTTACATGTATGTGAGAAAGACAAACAATGTTTGTGTGTGTGTGCATATGTGAGGGTGATCATGGGACCACTGTGGACACAAATGATTGAAAGGTGTGATAGTGGTAGGGTCGGCTCAGGAGCTCTGTAGAGTGATGCTGTGGGAATATCTAGATGTGACAGTGAAATAACTGTGAGAACTTCTTGAAGTGAATGTATGAAGTGAACTAGAGGAACTATTGAGGCAGAGACATGCAGAGACACACATAAACACACTTAAACACTCACTATCACAAATGTATTCATAAACTAAACATATACAGAGACTCTCACACCTTGCTATCAGGCATTTTTGTGAGATTAGAAAGGAATAAACTGTTTTGATTTGTACTTAGTTTAACCCAGATTATGTTGTCTAAGTACAAGAGTATTACCAGTCGACAAGTCAACAGTTTTATAGGAAAAAAAGGGAAAATAATTGTGTTCTCACAATAAAACATGCACCTGTTTGACAAAAGACAGACAAACACATAAAAACATAAAATTCATAAAATAACTTGGGGGATAGGCTCTTGGACCAGTAAAGTGACCACCTATGAACAACACTCTGGCAATAAATAGTACCGCACTGATCATAGCGGTAATGTTTGCACTGCCAAGCACCATTTTTCTTCAGAAAATATACAGGATCTAGTTTACATACAATGTTTCACACAAAACATGCATTTGATATAATTCTATTCACCAAATGACAAAAGGGGGGGTTATTTATAATTATAAGAACAAGAAGAGAACAAGAAACCAGATTAATAAAAATAAATAAATAAACTGTTCTAAACTGACTGGGCGAAACTACATGGTCATGGTTCATTTGGTTTTTCCAAATGAAAGAAATCTGTCAACCAGTCTGAGAGTGAGTGAATGCTCTTCTAAATGATTCTATGGAAGAAAAAAAAACTATGTTTTACCCCAGACCACACATAGTGTAAAGTCTTTACGTGCCTTTTCACGGAGACCTGATTCTGCATGTCTGCAGTTGTGAGCTCTTTAAGGTGTATGTATTTACCATTTTGGGGTGTTTATTGATGTTGTCTGGGTCCAGCAGGTAGATTTGGTCTTTGGCTCCCAGCAGTAATCGGCTTCTTTCTTCATCCAATAGGACTGTCT